CACATTGTTTTCTCTTCACTGGGCCAGCTGATCTCTCTCTCTCTCTTTCTCTCTCTGTTGATGTTATTGTTGTTAAGTGCCATCAAGTTGCAGGCGACTCATAGCGACTCTTTTTTATTTTTAGTTCCATCATTTTCTGTAGGATTCACAACTTTCCATTCCTCCTGTCTTTCCACCTCCCTTTCTGTAAAATTCCACCTTCTCATTCTCTCTATACAAAGAACTCCTTTCCTGTCTTAAGGCTTCAGCACCTGCTACCACTCTTGAGGACCATCGATTTCTCTTCCTTGCGTGTAAACCAAGGGCTCAGGTGACTTAGCCTGTTACACATCAGGCTTCCAAGCCCCAAATCAGTAGTTTGAACCCACCAGGTACCCCACAGAAAGACTGTTCATTTCTTTCTGTAACATCAGAAAAGTGATGTGAGTCCCTGGAGTGTGAACCGTGTGCATTGTACTGAGTTCAGGTTGAACGTTGCCTACGTCACTGGCCATTGGACGCCCGTAGTAAGCGTCCTCTCACTGGGCTTACTCGGCTTCACGGTCACTCTGTGGTTCTGATTTTGGAATGAGTTTGGGGCCATTTTTGCCTTCTCTCTCTCTGCATTCCTTTGCCCAGCATTTCCTAATAAAACTTTTTTTCAAATTTTATTTTATTTCATTAATTTTTGTGTGTACCATCAAATCAGATCTGACTGGTACAGGAGGAGATGATTCCTGCTTCTCCAGCAGAGCATCTGGTGGATTTGAACCATGTACCTCTGAGATTGCAGTGCAGCTTCTTGCCACTAGGCCACCAGAGCTCGCCCAATAAACCTTTTTTGTTTGCATAAAATAATAAAAAAAATAGAGATTTTGGTATTAGGTATCACACTTGGTTTTCCTACAGCTTTTTGTATTTCTTCTTGGTATTTAGTTTGTTGTTCCTGTGAGCTCTTGTCTTTCAGCAAGATTCTATGGAGTAAATGGATCTATCCTGAACCAGTTAAGATTGGCAGGACATCCAGCTTCCGATAAATGTGTGTTGTAAACTTACTTGTGTTACATATACTCCACAGGAAGCACTGGTGGTCTAGTGCATGAGGAGATGTGTATGAAATGTAAGAGACAGGTGATTCCAGTGCACCAGCTGTTGCACTGGAGAAAGAGAAATGCTCCCCTCCCATGTGATTTACCTCATCTGAGAGCCCACTAAAAGGTCTGATAAGAATCGGTTTCAGCACGAAAGCAATGAGTCATAATCTGGAAAGCATCAAATCTGGGTTCATGCATCAGACATTATCTAATCTGGTTCCTCTTCAATGACGTTCATTGTTATTGAGTTGGAATTGACACACATCTGACCTGCAGTGGCTTTCTGAGGTGGTAAATCACACGGGAGAAAATTACTCACACTTTCAGAGGAGGTAGTGCCCTCAAAGAGTCAGCTTTAGCTTAGCCGTGTAACTCCCCGCAGACAGCCCTACTGGTCCTCCCTTCCTCATTCCTCCGCTTAGTGCTGTTACTTCTTGGGTTGTTGTTGTTATTGTTGTTGTTGTTGTTTTTATGTGCCATCGAGTCATTTGTGACTCATAGTGACCCTGTGTACAACAGCCCTAAACTCTGCTCTATCCTGTGCCAGTTGCACTGTCTCTGACACACCCATCCCGATTACCCCAGTCACTGAATCAATCCACCTCATAGAGGGCCTTCCCCTCCTGCACCGTCCCTCCACCCTCACAAGCATGATGTCCCTCCCTAAGTACCGGTCCTTCCTCACAACATGTCCAAAGTATGTCAGACGAAGCCCCAGAATCCTTACCTCCAAGGAGTAGCCTGGCTTAACCCTCTCCAGGATGAATCTGTTTGTTTTCTTAGCAGTCCATGGTGTATTCCCTTACCTCCAAGGAGTAGCCTGGCTTAACCCTCTCCAGGATGAATCTGTTTGTTTTCTTAGCAGTCCATGGTGTATTCAATACTCTTCTCCAGCACCACAGCTCAAAGGATCAATTCTCCTTCTATCCTCACTAGTCATTGTCCAACTCTCTGATGAATAACAGGTGATTGCAAAGACCATGGCCTGTATCAGGTGCACCTTAGACTCCAGAGAGACACCGTTGCTCTTGAGTACTTTAGAGAGGTTGTTATTTTGTGTATTTATCAGTGTGCAAGTAACAGTAGGTCTGATTTTTATTTTTTAAGCACTCAAGACACGAAGGTTATTTATGTCACTAGAATAATGTACTTTAATGCTCCAAACAATAAAAGATGCTTTTTTTTAAAATGAAAGTTTTCAGAAAGGTTGGCTTTTCATTCATTCATTGTTGTACATTTTATTCCCTTCCCCTTTCTCTTCCTCCAGCCCAGGCCACTTTGCAGTGCACCTCTTGTCCCAGATTATTCTCATACATATAATGCCTAATCATAATTCCTTTCAGGCAGTTCTTCCCCTCATCTGTTCCAATGCAGTGTTCATTATCTATTGAGAATGTTTACTCATGGTGAACAGTGTTTGGTGAAGCTCCCTGCTTAAAACAAGCTTGGAAGCAGGAGTGGCATCCACTTCCATAACAGCTTGCCTCTGGAAACCATATGAACCTGGACAAAGGACAAACGGTATACAGGAGGTTTCCAGGACTTTCATTCATAGGGTTGCTAGGAGTTGCCTATGACTCATCAACATTTAACACCACCAGGGAGCTCTGGTGGCCTAGTGGCAAGAAGCTGCACTGCAATCCCAGAGGAACACGGTTCAAATCCACCAGATGCTCTGCCGGAGAAGGAGGCGCAATATCCTCCTGTACCAGTCAGATCTGATTTGACGGTACACGCACACAAAATAATAAAAAAAAAAAAAAAAAAACACCACCACCACCAGCAGCAGCAGCAGCAGCATAGAAAGAGAGAGCACTTGGCCTAGCAGGCAGTAAGCCATGCTCCCAAACCAAAGGTGGGTGACTCTACTCCACGGCCCTCAGACCTGCCTTTAATTGTTTTTGGTGAAACATTCTTCTAGGTCGTGTCACCCTATATGTCCACTTGCTGTACAGAGGTAACTTATGGTTGCTGGGAAGCTGAACACTGTGACCTTGATGTCTCAAATGCGAGAATGGTTACCCGTGGTGGACAGTGTTTGGTGGAGCTCTCTGATTAAAACAAGCTTAGAAGCAGGAGTGGCATCCACTTCCGTAATAGCTTGCCTCTGGAAACCCTATGAACCTGGAGAAAGGATGAAAGTTATACAGGACGTGTCCAGGATTTCATTCATAGGGTCGCTAGGAGTCGCCTGTGACTCGATGGCATTCAACAATACCACCACCACCAGCATATAAAAAGAGAGCAGTTGGCCTAGTGAACAGAAAGCCATGTTCCCAAACCAAACGTGGGTGACTGTACTCCGCGGCCCTCAGTCCTGCCTTTAATTGTTTGTGATGAAACATTCTTCTAGGTCATGTCATCCTGGTCTGTCCACTTGCTGTACAGAGGTCACTCATGGTTGCTGTGAAGCCAAACACTGTGACCCTGATGTGTCAAATGTGATCATGGTTACCCGTGGTGGACAGTGTTTGGTGGAGCTCCCCATTAAAACAAGCTTAGAAGCAGGAGTGGCATCCACTTCCATAATAAAGATGAAAGGTATACAGGAGGTGTCCAGGACTTTCGTTCATAGGGTCACTATGAATCACCTGCGACTCGACGGCACTTAACAACAACATCCACTATTAAGAAGATAGAGTGGCACAGTCACTGTAAGAATGGATTTGGGCATGTCTAAAATTATGAGGCGAGGACAGGAGAGGGAAAGGTTCTGAACTGTTGCTCATAGTGTTGAGAGTCACAGTCATTTCAGGGCATGTAACAACAGACCTTCAAACCAACCACCACACATCTGTCTGTTTGCTGTAATGTGGTAGCTTGAGTAGTGCTGTAATTCCTGAAACTATGCCAGTGTTCTTTCACACACCAGTCAGGTCCCTCTAGGGAACTCTGGTGGCCTAGTTGTAAGATAAGTCTGATATTTTATTTACACTCGTATACAAATGTTGTTGTTGTTGTTGATTGCCGTCAAGTCATAAGCAACTCATCACGACCCTATGAACAAAAGTCCTCAACACTTGTGTGTGTGACTTTCATCCTTTCTCCCGGTTCATAGGGTTTCTGGAGGGAATCTCTTTATGGAAGTGGATGCCACTCCTGCTTCCAAGCTTGTTTTAATCGGGGAGCTCCACCAAACACTCTCCACCGTGGGGAACCGTTATGGCATTTGACACATCAGTGTCACGGGGTTCAGCTTCACAGCGACCACAAGTTACCTCTGTTCGGCAAGGGGACACACCAGGGCTATACGACCCAGAAGAATATTTGACCAACAACAATTTAAAACAGGCCTTAAGGCCGCGGATTAGAGTCACCCACCTTTGGTTTGGTAGCATCACTTTCAGTCCACTAGGCCAACTGGTCTCTCTCTGTGTTCAGTGCCGTCGAGTTGTGAAAATCCAAAGTATGTCAGTAATTTATTTTTACTTTTTGAAATGCCTCCATTCCATATTTAGATGAAAGAAAGATTCATTATTCTCTTCTTTCACAGAAGTCCAGAAAGCTGATGATCATCTGCTTGGGCTCTTGTTTAAAGAACAACTACGCAGACTAGAACACTGCAGGAACCTTCATACTTTGGAAAATACAGATCGTAAGCACAAAGCTCATTTGCATTTCATGGAAAACCATGGTCTATTTGAACTACCTGAAAAAATTATGAAATCAAGTTTAACTTTACCAATAGTCCACCAGAGTAGATACAATCAAATGAAGGACTCTGAGCTTAATGGAGATGAGAAAAACGTGTTCCATGTTGATCGTGAACAATTTTGTCCAGAAATTGCTTCCTCTGAGAGTCAGAAATCCACGAGCACTGAGACTGAACTCCATCGGAGTCAGAAAACTGACACAGTGGCAAAACCGTATGTGTGCAGTGACTGCGGGAAAGGTTATACCCAGAAGTTACATCTCACTGTTCATCAGCGAACTCATACTGGAGAGAGGCCCTATGTGTGCAGGGATTGTGGAAAAGGATTCATCAGGAATCATTACCTCACTATCCACCAGCGTATTCACACTGGAGAGAAACCCTACCAGTGTGTTGAATGTGGAAAAGGATTCACGCAGAAGACAGCACTCGTGGTTCATCAGCGAACCCATACTGGCGAGAAACCCTACGTGTGCGGGGAGTGTGGAAAAGGTTTCATCACCAAGAATGAGCTCACTCTCCATCAGCGAACTCACACTGGCGAGAAACCTTTTAAATGTGGGGAATGCGGGAAAGGCTTGAAACATAAGGCAGGGCTCATTGTTCATCAACGAACTCATACCGGAGAGAAACCCTTTGTATGCGGAGAGTGTGGGAAAGATTTCATCAAGAAGAATGACCTCACTGTCCATCAGCGAACTCACACTGGGGAAAAACCCTATAAATGTGAATGTGGTAAAGGATTCACCAGGAAAAATGACCTGATGGTCCATCAGCGAACTCACACTGGGGAAAAACCCTTTAAATGTGGTGAGTGTGGCAAAGCCTTCATCCAGAAGTCAGAACTCACTTATCACCAACGGACCCATACGGGAGAGAAACCCTATGTGTGCAGTGAGTGTGGGAAAGGCTTCATTAGGAAGAAAGATCTCAACATCCACCAGCGAACTCACACTGTGGAGAAACCCTATCAGTGTAGCGAATGTGGGAAAGGTTTCATCCAGAAGGCAGAGTTCACCATTCATCAGCGAACGCATACTGGCGAAAAACCCTATGTCTGCACGGAATGTGGGAAAGGCTTCATCAGGAAGAAAGATCTCACTATCCACGAGCGAACTCACACTGGAGAGAAACCCTATGTATGTGGGGAGTGTGGGAAAAACTTCATCAGGAAGAATGACCTCACTCTCCATCGGCGAACTCACACTGGGGAGACGCCCTATCATTGTGGTGAATGTGGTAAAGGCTTCAAACAGAAGACAGGGCTCACCGTTCACCAGCGAACACATACTGGGGAGAGACCTTATATGTGCCAGGAGTGTGGAAAAAGCTACAGGAAGAAGAGTCTGCTCACTATCCATCAGCGAACTCATACAGGGGAGAAACCCTATAAATGTGATGAGTGTGGTAAAGGCTTCATCCAGAAGACAAACCTTTGTAAACACAAACGAACACATTCTGAAGCGAAACCCTATGCTTGCATGGAGTGTGGGGAAAGTTTCATTGAGAAGGGAAGTCTCAGCATTCACAAGCAAACTCATACAGGAGTAAAACCGTATGTAAGCGAGCAGTGTGCTAAAAAGTACATCAAAAAGGCAAACCTCTTTTTTCTTCAGCAGACTCATACTGGAGAGAAGCCAAATCTTGGCATTCAGTTTGGCAAAGACATCAACCATAGTCAAGCTTCTTACCACTTCCAAGAATTGTTACAGGAAAGACTTCCTGTTCATGTAGTGAATGTGGAAGATCTTATGTAGATGTTGGAAAATTCATGGGGTAAGAAACCTTTCAGTAGAGAGCTTTGGTGGCCTAGTGGCAAGAAGCTGCACTGCAATACCAGAGTACCTGCAGTTCGAATCCACCAGATGCTCTGCTGGAGAAGGAGAGACAATCTCCTCCTGTATCAGTGAGATCCAATTTGATGGCACACACACATTAAAAAGAATACTTTCAGTGAAGTGAATATCAGATAATCTTCAATATGTAGGAAGAGATTATTGTCCGGGGAAGATCTCATAAAGATGAAACGTCATATGGCTGTCAGGAAAGTGAACAGACTTTTGTCTCTGTTTCTATATTTTATCCACAGAGTTAACTGGAGCAATGTCCTAGTAATATATTGTCTGCATTGGCATCTCTGGCCTCAGTAAACATCAGTAGGTTAACAACTAGTAAGAACATCATTGTTGGATAGCCTTCTGCTAGATTTGTACCCTCTGGAGGTAACAAATACAATACAGAGAATCCTAAAGAATGTACAATTCAGCAGCAGAATTTGGAAATCTCAGCACAAGTTGGGAATTGGTTTTGTGTGGTTGATTGGTTGATGGGGGTGATCCTTTTGTGGACTTCCTCCCTACACTCTTAACGTGTACCAATAAAGTAATGAATTTTTAAGCTGATATCTATGTAAAATACTATGCATGTAAATATTGTATTAATTCAGAAGAGTATAAATTTCAAATTTCACAGCGAAAGCTTTGAAGGGTTTTTTAAAAATTTTTAAAATTTTTATTATTTTTTTGTGTGTGTACCATCAAATCGGAAATGACTGGTACAGGAGGAGATTGTCCCTCCTTCTTCAGCAGAGCATCTGGTGGATTCAAACCATGCGCCTCTGGGATTACAGTGCAGTTTCTTGCCACTAGGCCACCAGAGCTCCCCTAAAACTATGAAGTTTTAAAATGGAAAATGTCATTGTTAACTAGAATAGTTAAGTGGAGAGGATTATTGTATACCAAAGAAATAATTTTTCTTTAACTTTTTCAAAGAATGGAGCAAACTGGGGTGGGGGAAGCAGGGGAGACAGCTAGGCAGAGAGAAAAGTGCAACAATGAATGAATGGAAATCCAAAATCTCTGTAAATATTCATTAAAATTATTAAAATAAAATTTAAAACAACCAACCTAAAAAAAAAATAAAATAAAAACAACTAGAGAGGATTACCAAGATGGTGCAATATGGAATTGGAGGGATATGGGCCATGGAGAATAGATCTATATGCTCAAAAATATTAACCAGGTGAGCTCTGATGGCCTAGTGGCAAGAAGCTGTACTGAAATCCCAAAGGTACATGGTTCAAATCCACCAGGTGCTCTGCTGGAGAAGGAGGGATAATTTCCTCTTGTACCAGTCAGATCTGATTTGACGGTACATGCACAAAAATAAAAAAAATAAATAAAAATATTAACTAAAGATTAAGCAAAAATCAGTTTACCATACATTGTTTAGCTCAGTATATTGCAGAGGCATAGATGAAGCAATATTTCAGAGAGTCTTTTGGTCTGTCTGAGAAGTTCTGCTCTTATAATTCTTTTGTACTTGATTCTGTTAGGTGAGAGTTAGAGTTGTTGTTAGGTTATATTGAGTGAAGTCCAACCCATAGCAATCTTATGAATAAGAGTTCTCAACCCATCCTCACAGCCCATTGCTGCAATCACTGTGTCACTCCATTTGGCTGACGGTCTTCCTCTCCTTCACCATCCCTCCAGCATGATGTCCCTCTCCAAGGGGTGGCCTCTCCTTGAAACATAATATGAAATACATGAGACAAAGATCTGTCATCTTTTCCTCCAATGAGCACTCTGGTTGTACTTTCTCCAAGACATACCTATTTGTTCTTTAAACAAATACTCAGTTCTCTTTTCCAACACCAGAGTTTAAAGACATCAGTTTCATTATCATTATCTACCTCTCAGATGCATAGCAAGTGATTGGAAAGTCTTTATAATTTATTCTGATAAGATTAATAGCAAACTATTTAAAATACATCTCAGGTCAACATAGTCGCAAATACTTAATCAGCTCTACTAGGTCATAATTTCAAAAATTAACCCTTCCATCTGTGGCAAGACTATATAACCCTGTGGTAAGATTGTAAAGGTAATCTGCAGTCCTCCCCATGCAAACGAAACTCTACCTCTTTCTTTCATGAGACTGAAATGGAGAAAAAGCATTTGGAAGATCTATCACTGAATACCATTCTCCTTCAGTCAGCTGTATTTTCTGTATCAGTAATACTATGTCTGGGGCTGCTGAAGCCACAGGTAGCCCTACTTTATTTAGACCTCAGTAGTTCACAGCCTTCTAGCAGCCTTCTGCCTCTTTTCCAGGCTATACTGGGTTAAACAGCAAACTATCTGTTTTCCTGTACTGTTCCTAGGGTAATATTGAGAACAGTAATTCTTTAAACAACTTGTTTTTGTTGTTTGTTAAGTATCATTGAGTTATGTTTTCCTGTACTGTTCCTAGGGTAATACTGAGAACAGTAATTCTTTAAACAACTTGTTTTTGTTGTTTGTTAAGTATCATCGAGTCATAGGCGACTCATAGCGACCCTATGAACGAAAGTCCTCAACACTTGTGTGACTTTCATGCTTTTCTCCACATTCGTAGGGTGTCCCGAGGCAAGCTGTTTAAGGAAGTGGATGCCACTCCTGCCTCCAAGCTTGTTTTAATTGGGGAGCTCCACCAAACACTGTCCACCATGGGTAACCATTAATGAGTTTGACACATCAGTGTCACAGTGTTCAGCTTCACAGCAACCAAAAGTTACCTCTGTAGAACTCAATAGGAACACAAAAGCATTAATTGTTTTCTTCCCCCGGGTTATCCTACTGTAAACTAAGTAAAAAAGTAATATGAACTTTCCCAGTTATGTCAATGGTGAGGGATTCTGACATGGAGAACTGTTATTCCTAGGAAGTTTTCAGAGCCATAGAAAAGGCATGTTTTGTTTTGCTTACAGTAAACCCTACTAGTACATTTGTGACCCTCCAACATCCTCCCTGTGTTGAGAATAAAAATGGTTGCAGAGGGTCAAGAACTGCAGCCTTCAGTATGGATTGAGGCTCGATGTCAAGAAGACAGATTCTTACCACTGGACCAATTGGTAGCATCAGGACAGACGATGAAGAGATTGAGATTGTTAACAACTTTAGTTTGCTTGGCTCCACGGTCAACACTTTTGGCACCAGCAGCCAGGAAATAAAAAAATGTATTGCGATGGAAAAGTCTGCTGTTAGGGACCTCTCCAGGGTACTGAAGAGCAATGGTGTCACTCTGGAGACTAAGGTGAGTCTGATAAAGGCCTTGGTGTTTGCAGTCACTTTTATGCATCAGAGAGTTGGACAGTGACTAGGGAGGACAGAAGGAGAATTGATGCCTTTGAGCTGTGGTGCTGGAGAAGAGTATTGAGAATACCATGGACTGCCAGGAAAACAAACAGATTCATCCTAGAAAGGATTAAACCAGGCAGCTCCTTGGAGGCAAGGATTCTGAGGCTCCGTCTAACATACTTTGGACATGTTGTATGAAGAGACCAGTCCTTGGAGAGGGACATCATGCTTGGGAGGGTGGAGGGACAGCGCAGGAGGGAAAGACCCTCTATGAGGTGGATTGATTCAGTGACTGGTGTAATTGGGCTGGGTTTGTTAGAAACAGTGTGATTGGCACAGCACAGAGCAGAGGTTAGGGCTGTTGTACATAAGGTCGCTATGAGTAGCAAGCACATAACAACAACAACAACAACAAACAATTCCTTTGTGTGGCAGTTGGCTTCAGTGAAGATTACACCTTATCAAACAATTCTACTCATCCCCTCTATGTATCCAAGTTGAAGTCCACTGAATGGTGAGTTTGAGGTTATCCTGTTTCACTGCAACAATAGTTTGTCTTCTTTATTGTGTGTATGCAAATATGGTTGTTTCCATGCTCTTTGCATGGGGCACAGACATTACCTCTGTAAGCATCCTGGCAAAGCCATTATTCTTTCCCCTTAAGGTGATTGATCTCAAGGTTAACCACAATTTGTTGTGATCTGCACAGTCAAAAGCCTTTGCAGAGTCAGTTAAGCACAAATAGACATTCTTCTCGTATTCTTTATCGTGGCCAATCTCAGGCACACCTTAGTCTCAAGACTAAGGCTTACCTGATCCAAGTCATGGTCTTTGCAGTTACATGCCATGCATCAGAGAGCTGGATAATGACTAGGGATAACAGAAGAATAATTAATACCTTTGAGCTATGAGGCTGGAGAAGAATATTGAACATAGCATTGGCAGCCATGAGAACAAATAAAAATAAATCTGACTTGGAGAGGGTGAAACCAACTTTTTCCTAGGAGACAAGGATTTTGAAACTCCATTTCATATAAAAGTTATTTCTAGCATTTCTCTGTTGATGAACTATTACAGTCATTTTTGCATAATCTTCAGCAAGATTTTTTTATTAATTTTAATGAAAGTTTACAGACTTAGGGTTTCCATCGTTGCATTTTTCTCCCTGCCTATCCCCTCCCCCCAATTCGCTCTTCTCTTTGAAAAGTAAAAGAAAAATTCTTTCATTTTTATACACTCCCTCCCCCCAAGTCCACTCTACTATGTAGCCTTCATTCTGGACTCCTGTCATGACAATAATACCTAATCATATATCTTTTTTT